CGCCGGCCTATGGGAGGGGCGTAACCCAGCGCGACTCGGCACCGCCTCGAATGCCTTCAGGCAGAGACAGCCACTCTCGCGGGACCAGGTCTGTTAGCCGCCCACGAGCGACGTCTTTCACAGCTGAAAGGAGGGCTGCGTTAACCCGGTTCGGGACACTGGGACCAAGTGCAAGAAGGCTTAAGGGTGTACATAACCTACGGTAGTAAAAATGGGATGGAACCCCAGGCCTGATGACACCTACCTGTCCCAATAAAATTTGAGACCTATAGGACTTTCTCCCTTAAACTAAGGTGGAACCCTGAGTGTTACTTTTGGGGAAGGAAGAGAGCTTTACAAACTCAGAAGAACCACGCTAATGAAAAATGAACGGATGAACCAGATGCCGAATTGTACATTTCTGTGCAGCCTGAATGGGAAAGGTCCTTCCTGGATACTTGTCTTCCAGGGCAATTGGTTTTATCTTCCTGGATTCTTTAGTGTTAGGGCATCTGAGAATCTCCATTGGCAACTTAGGTCATTTGATTTGATTGGTTTTTCTCTTCTTTATCTTTTGGAGAGAGCTGGTTTAAATCTGAGTCTTCTCTTTTCACAAATCCTTTTCAGTCAACAACAACATCTCCCACAATTGCTATTAAAATTGATCACACATTGTTTAGGTTTTGTGAGAGTTAGACTATACCATGGAGCTTCATTTACAAACTTTCATTTTAATATGGGATTTTTTTTTTTCCTGAGGAGAATCCACAGATGGCACTGCAGTATTTAGGTTGATTTTTGTTAGGATCATTTCTAATGCACATGCCTGAATACTGACTATATCCCCCAAAACAAAAGGAGATCACATGCTGAAAAAAGCACATGTAGAGGCCAAAGGAGAACACATGCTGTACTGAGAGGATCTGCCAACTTCTATCCACCTTGAGTCTGTGTGTTAGTCAACTTTTCATTGCTGTGACCAAAACATGAACAACTGGAGGAAGGAGGGGCTTATTCTGGCTCAGTTTCAGAAGTTTCAGTCCATGGCTGACTGGCTCCATTGCTCTAGGCTTCTGATAAGCCAAAACATCATGGTGGAAGGGCATGGGAGAGGAAAACCTAGCTCCCGGCATTCAGGAATGGGGTGGTGGGAGGGGCCAGGGACAAGATATAGTCCTCAGTGATCTACTTCCTCCAACCATGCCCCACCTGCCTACACTTTTCAACACCTCCCATAGTCCATTCAATTATTAATTCATCCAGTATTAGCCCACTGATGAGGTCAGAACCCTTATAATCCAATCATTTCCTCAAAGACCCACCTTCTGACATTGCTGCATTGGGAACCAAATCTACAATATATGAGCTTTCGGGGACATTTCCATAATCAAAGCATAACAAAGACTAGATACAATGTGATAACTGGTTAAATATGCAGAGCAAAGGAAGGAATTAAGCTTGGGAGACTGAAGTCACATTCTTCAATTCCATGAGTAATAATAATCCTAGGAGTAATGATATTTTCTAAGCCCTTATTATGTGTGAGGCACTTGGAACTTTGTAAGTATTAACTATATAATGCTTACAAATCCCTATAAATTTAAAAGTTAACACCATTTTAAAGATGGCTAACTATCTATGGTGAGGATTAAGTATCAGGAAAGGACACGCTATTCACTACAAACCAGCACCATGGTTTTGTGGGTGTGAATGTTTGTTTTGATATCAGCTGGTTTTCCCAGAGACTGATCACTCCTGAGTGAAATGATCAAGCCCTGGAGTATAGAGCAAAACGACAGAAATGAAATCTTAACAAAGACAGAACTGTCTCCAAAACCCAGATGCTGCCATGTCTCAGAAGACTCTGAAGATGCAATATGGGTTTATGTATGGAACCAGACACCACAAAAATTCAGTTATTTGAACTGTACCCAAGAATCAGAACAAAGGCAAGGAACAGTCCCTGACCATCAAAAGAGATAGATAGATAAGAGCACTTGAATATGCTCTGCTTAAGAATAAATTTTGGATATATTGCTTACCTATTGCTGCTAACAAATTACTCCGAAACTTGGTGGCTGAAAACAATATTTATTATCTCACTATTTTTGTAGATTTGGAATTTGAGAGCATCCTGGCTAGTGGTTGTGATTCAGTATCACTAAACACAACACAAACACACCAGTTGGGGTTTGACTGGGGCTGGTGGTTTTAATTCCTCAATAGCTCATTCACATGGATGTTGGCAAGGGTCTCTCCATAGGGGCTGCTTGAATGTCTTCAGGACTGGTAGTTTACTTTCCCCAGAGAGAGTGATCCACAAGAGAGGAACCATGCGTGATGCCTTTTATGACTTACCCTCAAAAATCGCACATCATTTCCATGGTGTTCTGTTGTTACATTGGCCAGCTCTAGTCAATGTGAGAGGGAGATGGTAAAGGAAGGAGACCCT